TGTTCAGCAGCCTGTCATGCTCTGCTGACCCTGGGACTTTCAATGAACTTGAATTAATGGCTTGCCATGTAGTTTGGTAATATCTGGACTGTACCTTTTTACTTGTTGACTTTGGGCTTGTCAGCCTCAGCAGCCAGCAGCTGCCTGAGTGAAGAGACACCTCTAGCTCTAGTGGGCTGAGAGCAAGCCCAAGGTCAAGGGGCTTTCACCCAGTCCCTAGAGCCTGGCACTTTGAACTTGGACTTCCAGTCTCCAAAACTATAAGAGAATAGACTCCTGTTTGTTAAAGCTATCCCATTTGTATATTACTGTCACAGCAGCACTAGATAACCAAAACAATGTGTATGTAACACAATTTGGTTATCCACTCATCCATTGGTGGATACTTAGGTTGTTTCCATCTCTTTGCTGTTGTATATAGTGCTGCGATGTACATGGGTGTGCATACATCTATTCATGTCCCAGCTCTCACTTTAGGATATATACCTCATAGTAGGATTGCTGGATCAAATGATATCTCTATTTGCAACTTTTTAAGGAAGCGCCATACTGAATTCCACAGTAGTTGTATCATTTTACAGTTCCACCAGCAGTGTATGAGAGTCCCAGTCTCTCCATAGCCTCGCCAGCATTTATTTTCTGACTTTGCTGTTATTGCTAGGGGTGTGAAGATATCTCATTGTTGTTTTGATTTGCATCTCTCTATTGGCTAATGATCATGAACACTTCTTCATGTGTTTGTCAGCCTCCTGAATATCTGCTTTGGTAAAGTGTCTATTCATATCTTCTGCTCATTTTTTAATTAGATTGCTTGTCTTTTTCATATTAAGATGATGGAGTTTTCTATAGATTTTAGAGATAAGTCCCTTGTTGGATATGTCATTGCTGAATATTTTTTCCCAATCTCTGGTTCTGTATTTACTCTTTTGGGAAAGTCTTTTTGATGCACATGTTGTTGTTGTTGTTATGTGCCGTCAAGTCAGACCCGACTCATAGCGACCCCTCCTTGGGTTTCCGAGACAGTATCACTATGGAAGTAGATTGCCCAACCTTCCTTCCAAGGAGTGGCTGGTGGGTTTGTAGTTAGTACAAACTAACTGGTTAGTAGTTAAAT